CGGAGGGGGCGTGGCCCTGCCCGTGGGCGTGGCCGCGCAGGGCCTGGTCCCAGACCCAGCTCTCTGCGCCGGAGTTCGCTGTCCTCTGCCGCTAGGGAGTTTTGTCAGTCGGTGCCCACCATGGTCCTGGAGCTCTATCTGGACCTGCTGTCTCAGCCCTGCCGCGCCATCTACATCTTCGCCAAGAAGAACCGCATCCCTTTCGAGATGCGTACCGTGGAGCTGCTCAAAGGTGGCCCGGTCTTGGGCTTGGGGAACTGAGAGGTCGGGAGGGACCTAACAGCAAACAGCTTGTAGGTAGCCCCTCCCAGAACCACCCCCGCCCTGGGGCCATTGCTGGTTTAATTTGGAGACCTGGCCAAGAAAGTTGAGCCGTTTGGGAGAGGCAAGTTTCACTCCAGAACAGCTGAGGATCGGCTGAGGCTAAATAAGAGGGCTAGGAGGCATGAAAAAGGCGAGTCTGGGGTTTGGGGGGCCTTCAGAAAAGCGAAAGGGAGAGAGTGTACAGTCTGGAACAGGGTCCGGGTCTTCTTTGTGGCCCCCACTGCTGAGACTCTCCAACAGCAAGCCCGGGAGACTTTGCCCCAGGACCTGACTTTCCAGCCCCTTTCGCTCCCCGCACTCGCCCAGTCTGTCCCTTGCTGCTTCTGCTCCTCTAGGTTTGTTCCTATACACTAGTTCTTCCTCCTGTTGCTACTGGGAAGGAGGCTGTCCTGGGTTATGCTGGAAGGAGGGGGAGCAGACTTGGTGACTGCACTGTGCAGGGCTGTTTGTTTCTCTGACAGGCTTCCATGCCCTCAAGGATACAGGTGGCAGGAGTGGGTGGGAAGCAGGACCTGGCATTGCTGGGTGGCACCCTGCTAGGTTGTCTGCCCCCACTTGGCTAAGCCTCCCACCTGATGCCCCCTGCCCCCACACCATAGTTGGCTTCTGCTTCATGTCTTTACACTGGTTGTCCCTCTGCCTGAAACTTTGTCTCCTCCTGGTCAGGGGACAGCCCACTTGTCCCGCACTGGGGGACTATCTCTGCAGAGCGTGGAGCAGCAGGGGGCACAAGGGGGCATCCAAAGTTAGCTGTCAAATACAGTGGTACAGAGAGAGGTGTGTTTTACCAGGAGAGATGGGTGTGTGCTCCTGATGAGGGGAAACATCTGACGGGAGGATAAGGGGGAGTAGCAGATGTGGTGGAGGCTACAGGGTTAAGGTGATTGCATATGGCTTTAAGGAGCTTCTACCCTATCCAGGGTTAATGGGGAGCCACTGAGGACTATAGAGCAGGGCAGTGATGAGACTTCAGTGCCCTTTGAAGCTCCTCTCTGGCTGCATCTGCAGCAGAAAACCACTCAGACAAGCTCGAGCAGAAGCTAGGGCCCCTGGGTTGCACATGTGAGGGGCTGAGATTGGGGCATGAAATGTGACTATCCTAGGTGATCAGAGCCTGTAGTCAGGGCCAGCTCTGTGTCCCCAGTGCCTGGGGTAGGGTGAACAAGGGGACACTGGGGCCAGTACAAGTTGGTTACAAGTAAATATATTCTAGGAAAAGACCACTTCTTTGTATTTGGTGACTTTGCCTGAGAGTCCATGAGGGAAGGATGCTATAGGAAATCAGTTCCACTCAGGTGACCTGCCCTGCAGCTTGGGACACTTCAAATGTGAATTCATGATGGAAAGAGGAGGTGGTGGGGTGTGTGTGAAGGCCCGGGCAGCATGCCCTGTACAGCGAGCTCTGTGCAGAGATGTGGGTTGTGGAGGGAGGTTGTGCCCACAAGGGCTTGGTAAGGGGTATTGAGGTCTGTTTTGCCCCAGCTGGCAGAGTAGCCTGCCCCTCCTCCCATAGTAACCCCCACCAGCCTTTGCCATTCTGGAGAACAGCCCAGTAAGGAGAAGAGCCGTGAAACTGGGCCTCATATAGCAGGGAATGGGTATAGGACATGGAGGGCTCGTCACTTGCCTCCCACCAGCCACCATGCTGGGCTCTCTGCAGGCCAGCACCTCAGTGATGCCTTTGCCCAGGTGAATCCTCTGAAGAAGGTGCCAGCCTTGAAGGACGGGGACTTCATCTTGACTGAGAGGTAACTGGGACCCTGGGGCTGATGCCAGGCCTTCTAGAACCATCCTGTCCTAACCCTCTATTTTATAGACAAGGAAACTAAAGTCCTCAGATGCAAAGGTCCCCTCTACCTGAGGTCCCACAGAAAGCTGACCAGAACCCAGGCCCTTGCCTGCTATTCCCTATCACCCACATGGTTGTAACAGCGAGCACCTACTTTATTTTTTTTACCAGCTCTTAGGTTGCTGGTGAGAGTATCCCTGGGGCAGGGGTGCAGCGCAGTGCAGGGGAGGATGGCAGCTTCCCCCTACCACAGGGACAGCCCTCTGGTCAAGCTTGTGTGCAGATGGGCTAGAGGCGTCTGGGCTGCCTGGTGTCTCCATCTCTGGCTGCAACTTCCCTGGGTGGGTCCTCTTGGTGTGAAAGCCAGCAGGTATGTGAATGTTTTATAACACAGTAGGTCCTAAGAAGTTGAATCCTTCCCAAAGAAGGTCAGACCTTTCACCAGTTCTCCTCCTTTTGTCCCTGAGTCATCCAATCCATAAAAAGGAGAAGCTGGAGTTTGCATTTTAGAGCTCATCTCTGAAACCTTGGGGTGTATGCACCTATGACTGAACTTCTCTAACATTTTGCCAGCAACATTCTTCCTTTCTGATGCCCTAGGTATCCTAAGTCCTTGTGTCTGTTCTGTGTTGAACGTCCCGGGTACCAGGTAGGGGGAGTGTGCAGTCTGTGTTTTTCTGTCACTGCTCTCACCCTTGGGAGATCTATGGCTCACAAGGATCTGTGACACTCCTCAGAGGTGGCTCAAACAATTAACTGGGAGCAGAAGGAGCTCCAGGGAATTCTGCACAGACAACTGAATCATTAAGCTGGGATGTGGGTGTGTTAAGGCCAAAATTATTACCACTGAGAGTCCATACTCACACATGGAAAACCAAGGAGTTTATTCTTATCAGGCATATGCTTGGGTCACTCCCATGAGAAAAGCAGAAACAGCGGACAGCGGGGAGTGGCCCCTAAACAAAGGCCAGGGAAACTTTTATGCACTTTCTCACAAAGTACTACGGGTTGCAATAAAATGCTGAAGAAGATAGCTGAGGAAGAAGCTAGTGTCTGGTCACTCATTGGTCACTAGGGAGGTCTTGGGGTTCCAACAGGCCAACTGCCTTTCCGTGGTTGGGGTCTTAGCTGGGGTGGAGGTGTGTGAACGTTTGATTGGTTGCTGCCACCTGGGCTGTATACTTGATTTGATTTATGACCTTGGAGTTTCCTGCAGCTCTTGCCTCCTCCCTCCTCTTCTCTCTGTCTTCCTTCTTCCCCAGCTCTTTTATCTTTTTCTATTTTTGTCACTACCATTACTATTTAAGGGCAAAGCAGGAAAATAATAATATAATGAAAAATAGGATCCTAGCTGCTCCCTCTCAGGTGCAGGATTCCTAATAAGGAATATGGGCCGGTAGCAGATACTTTTCTGCCCTTTTGGCTGGGTGCCCAATCCCTGCGATACCCTAAGTTCCTGAAAGCTTTTCTATGGTCCCAAATTAACACATCCTCAGTGTCCTTCCAGGTCTATCACCATCCAACACTATGGCAGCTCTCATAACCCAGGGCAGGAGCAGAGCACTGGGGGGCTTGTTTATTCTGCTATTCCAGGATCCTGCAGCTCCCCAGTGTTTTCTGAGTGATACTTTAGCAGCCAAACTACCTCCATCTAGATAGGAGCTAATTCTTGGTAGAAAGAATGACAGGCCAGGTGAGGTGGCTCACGCCTATAATCCTAGCACACTGGGAGGCAGAAGATTTGCTTGAGTCCAGGAGTTGGAGGTTGCTGTGAGCTGTGATGCCCCGGCACTCTACCCAGGAAGATAGCTTGAGGCTCTGTCTCAAAAAAAAAAAAAAAAGACCTATTTCCTTGTCTGGAAAAATGAGAGTATTACCTTGGCAGACTGTCAACAGGACTAAAGAAGCTACTGTGTATAAAGTTCCTAGCACAGTGCCCTTCCCTCACCCAGCATGCACTTCTCCCTGCAGTGTGGCCATCCTTCTCTATCTGACTCGAAAGTATCAAGTCCCTGACTACTGGTACCCTCAGGACCTGCAGGCCCGAGCCCGTGTGGATGAATATCTGGCATGGCAGCACACAGCCCTGCGGAGAAACTGCCTCCGGGCCCTGTGGCATAAGGTGAGTCTGGGAGACGAAGGGGTTGCATTGAAGCCATCACCTGAAGGTGCTCAGGCACCATCAGATTCTTCTTTGGATAATTTCTACTGACTTGTCTTTGACTTCACTGATTCTTCCATCATGCCAGGTTGCTATTAAGCCCATCTAATACATTCTTTGTTTGAGATAGGTATTTTTCAGTTCTAGAAATTCCTTTTTTTCTTAGAGTTTTCATTTTTCTGATGAAATTCACTATCTGTTCATCCATTTTATCTACCTTTTTTTCTAAGTTCTTTAACATATTTATCACTGTTACCTAAAGGCTTTGTCAGGAAATTTCCATCCCTAGGCTCTCTCTGGGTCTGCCTCTATTAATTGTTTTTTCCTCTCTTGATTATGAGACATTTTTCTGCTTCTTTACATGTCTCATAATTTTTTATTGCATGCTAAACATTATGTATAAAAGAAATAAGAGATTGAATTATATAATAAATACCCCCAGAAGGGGTGTATTTATATTTGTTATATAATTGACCTTGAACTTTCCTTTGTCAGGTAGCCAGGATGTAAGTTAATCAGGAAGAGTGCTTAGTTGCAGTTTTAGTTAGTTTCAATTTATCTCTGGTGTCAAAATCCTTGAGCTGAGGTGAGGCCATGAGGTCACTCCAGTAGGACTTTGGAATCTAATCACCAACTATCACTATGCCTATGAGATCTCTCTACTCTTCAGCCTGCCCCCCTGCCAGATCCCACATTGGTACATAGTCAGAAAGGCCCTATGCCTTCCACTCTCTCTCTCTGCCTACTGTGCTCAAGGAAATTAAATTGGAATAAAAGTGACTTATCTAGAAAGGGCTTGTACCTCTCAGGAATTTAATTCATTTATTCAACTGCTATCCAATAGAAATTTAAAGTGAGCTGCATATGTAATTTTAAGTTTTCTAGTAGCTACATTTAAAAAGTAAAAAGAAATCAGTCAGGTGTGGTGGCTCATGCCTATAATTCTATCGCTCTGGGAGGCTGAGGAGGGGTGATCAGTTGAGGTCAGGAGTTTAACACCAACCTGAGCAAAAGCAAGAACCCATCTTTACAAAAAAATAGAAAAAATTAGCCATGTGTGATGCCAGGTGTGGTGGCATGTGTCTGTGGTCCCAGCTACTTAGAAGGCTGAAGCAGGAGGATGGCTTGAGTCCAGGAGTTGAGGTTGCAGGAATCTGTGATGATGCCACTGTTCTCTAACCCAGGTGACAGCAAGATTTTGTCTTAAAAAAAAAGTAAAAGGAAATTAATATGTTTTGTTTAACCCAATATATTCAAAATATTATTTTTTTCAAAAAGCACAAGAAATGATGCTCAGCCCCAGTAATCACTGGGGAAATGATAATCAAAACTATGAGATGACATTTCATACTTATTAGGATGACTGTCATAAAAACAAAAAGCAGAAAACAGAAAATAGCAAGTAGAGAAATTGGAGTCCTTATATACTTTTGGTGAGAATAAAAGATAATGTAGCTACTATGAAAACAGTATGGAAGTTTGAAAAACAAAATTTTTTTTGAAACAGAGCTCACTATGTCACCCTTGGTAGAGTGCTGTGGCATCAAAGCTCACAGCAACCTCAAACTCTTGGGCTTAAGCAATCCTCTTGCTTCAGCCTCCCAAGTAGCTGGGACTACAGGCCACAATGCCTGGCTATGTTTGTTGTTGTTGCAGTTGTCATTGTTGTTTTTGCAGGCCCAGGCTGGTTTCAAACCTGCCAGCCTCAGTATATGTGGCTGATGACATAACGACTATGCTATGGGTGCTGAGCCCTAAAAAAATTTTTTTAAATAGAATGATCGAGTGATCCAGCAATTCCACTTCTGGGTTATTGAAAGCAGGGTCCTGAAGAGATATTTGTGTGCCCATGTTCATAGCAGTATTATTCATGGCAGCCAAATTATGGAAGCAACCCAAGTGTCCATCAACAGATGAATGAGTGAATGAGCAAAATGTAGTATATGAAGATCTGACAAGTTCACAAACTCGTTCTAGAAAACGTGCTATGTACCTTGATGCTGAACATCACTATGGTTACCTCTGAAGTACATCTCTTGGGAAGCTTATGCACTGACACCGGTGCCTCATCTACCTTTCAAAGAAAAAAATTTTTAATCCCCCCTTCCCTACCTACCCCAGCCTGCACATGTAGGAAAGGCAGGAAAGGAAGCACTTCAAAACAATTTGGGGATTTTTTTTCTGGAATAACCATCAGAGCTGTTATCATATGGCACACAAAAATACACAACAATAATGAACATCATTCAGCAAGACACCACCACATGTTGACAGGAACACAGCACCCACCATAATGCCTGGCTATTTTTTGTTGCAGTTGTCATTGTTGTTTTAGTTGGCCCGGGCTGGGTTCGAACCCACCAACTTTGATGTAAGTGGCTGGCACAGTAACCACTGTGCTATGGGCGCAGAGTCTCTTACCATTTTCTTTTATATATATAAAAGAAACAACAGTGAACTGTCCTGAGTCTTCTTTGAGAGGCCATTCTGCCAGTTCACGATTTAATACATCATTACATTTATGTGTAGCCAGCCATCAGCAAAATAAAGTTTGGCTTTGAGTGTTTAACATTTTATATCAGTGCTCTTATGCCATTCACTTAGCATTATGTGTTTTAGATTTTTTTTTCACAATGCTATGGGTAGATCTAGTTCATTCCATTTAACTGCTCTCTAGTATTTCATTATATGAATAAATCAGATTTTATTTATTAATGTATTATTGTATTTGAAATGCAAGGAAGAACAGAATTATTTGTTTATTTTTTTTTTGTGACAGAGCCTCAAGGTATTGCCCAGGGTAGAGTGCTGTGGCATTATAGCTCACAGCAACCTCCAACTCCTGGGCTTAAGCAATTCTTCTGCCTCTTCCTCCCAAGTAGCTGGGACCACAGGCACCCACCACAATGCCTGGCTGTTGTTTGGTTGCAGCCATCATTGTTGTTTGGTGGGCCTGGGCTGGATTTGAACCTGCCAGCTCAGGTGTATGTGGTTGGCACCTTAGCTTCTTGAGCCAAGGCGCTGAGCCAGAATAGAATTACTTTTTAAAACCCTAAGAACTTTGGAAGTGGCTCGGCACCTGTGGCTCAAGCGGCTAAGGTGCCAGCCACATACACCTAAGGTGGCGAGTTGGAATCCCCAGCCCGGGCCTGCCAAACAATGATGGCTGCAACCAAAAAATGGCCAGGCGTTGTGGCGGGCGCCTGTAGTCCCAGCTACTTGGGAGGTGGAGGCAGGAGACTCGCTTGAGCCCAGGAGTTGGAGGTTGCTGTGAGCATGATGCCATGGAACTCTACCCAGGGGGATAGCTTGAGGCTCAGTCTCAAAAAAAAAAAAAAAAAGAACTTTGGAAGCACCAAATCAGAACAAAAGGGAAATGCAGACTCATCAGGGCAATGTAGAGTAAGTGAGGGAGGTCAGCTGGGTGGGGATCTGAGGACTAAGAGTCTACTCCGACTCTCCTGAAGGAGCAAGTTTTCCCAAGTGGTAGCCTTAGATTCTGAGCAGAGACACCAAGTAGGAATTCTTAAGTCAAAAAGAAGCTACAAGTCTGGATTTCCCTATGAAATGTCTGAATTTTTAGATGTCAACAAATGATCCATGTTTTTTAAAACTCTGCAGCTAAAGAAATGTACATTGGCTTCCGGGTCACCAGTGGGCTATGTCTGATCTGAGACTGATGCTCAAAGCCAGGGCTCATGTACAATCCTACAAGCCCTGTTTACCGTTTCCTGAACTTAAGTTCCCCAAAGTAGTTTTCCCAAATAAGACACCCAACTAAAAAATAACTGCTCCCTCATTCAGCATGCTTGTGTGTCCCTGATGGGTCTGCTGAGCCTGATAGAGCAGCTAACGTCTTCCCTCTCCAGGACCCTCCTCCTGGAATCCTGGACACCACCATCCTAAGTTTCTTCCTTAGTCCCTGGAAGGTCACTGTGTTAGAACACATCTGCTCCATGCTTAGCTCAGTCTTTTCTTGACTGTGCCATCTTGGGGAACTGACTACCCCTCTCTGGTCCTCACTTGGCCATTTATGAAATAAGCCATTTACTGTATTATTCTTATATTATAGTTGAAGAGATTGTCAGAGGGTTTGAATATCTTGCTGAACATCACACAGTTTGTAAGTGACAGAACAGGGATCTTGAAAGCCCATCCTCCTTATACTGTAAGAGGTACTGATTTGATATTCAGATGGGAAAGAGGCAGTAAAGGGGATAATTTTTTATACTAGCTCCCTCCCCCCAAAGTATTAAATGCATTGGAGAGTTTGAATCTTTCTTTCTGATGCCCTTCAGGCTTAGCCAGTCAGTAATAATAGAAACAGGAATATTTCTGGGAAAAAAAAATATTTCTGGGAAAAGGAGTCCCTAACCAGATTATGGAAGAAAATTGCATGGGGCCAGAAGCAGTGGCTCACACCTTTAATTCTAGCCCATACCTTTAATTCCTCCTCCACTTGGGAGGCTGAGGTGGGTGGATTGCCTGAGCTCACAAGTTCAATGTCATCCTGAACCAGAGGGAGACTTCATCTCTAAAAAATAGCCAGGTGTTGTGGCAGGCACTTGTACTCCCAGCTCCTCAGGAGGCTGAGAAAAGAGAATTGCTTGAGCCCAAAAGTTTGAGGTTGCTGTGAGCTGTGACACTATGGCACTCTACTGACAGCAACCAAGTGAGACTCTGTTTTAAAAAAGAAAGAAAGAAAGAAAGAAAGAAAGAAAGAAAAGTGCATGGCGGCTTGGTGCCCATAGCTCAGTGAGTAGGGCGCTGGCCACATACACTGAGGCTGGCAGGTTCTAACCTGGACCAGGCCTACTAAACAACAATGACAACTGCAACAACAACAAAAAAATAGCTGGGTGTTGTAGCAGGTGCCTGTAATCCCAGCTACATGGGAGGCTGAGCCAAGAGAATCGCTGAAGCCCAAGATTTTGAGGTTGCTGTGAGCTGTGACGCCATGGCACTCTACCGAGGGTGACATAGTAAGACTCTATCTCAGGAAAAATAAAGAAAGAAGGTAAGTGCAGGGCAACTCATCCAAAGGTGTTGTTTTTGGTGGAGGAGGGGACAGGTTGTTTTCCTGCCTGTAAGGCTAGCCTGGCTCCTAACCACTCTTTGCCTACCCAACCCCCAGGTGATGCTCCCTGTTTTCCTGGGTGAGCCAGTACCTCCCCAGACGCTGGCAGCTACTCTGTCAGAGTTGGATGTGACCCTTCAGTTGCTCGAGGACAAATTCCTCCAGAACAAGACCTTTCTCGCTGGAGCCCACATCTCCCTGGCTGACCTGGTAGCCATCACAGAGCTGATGCATGTGAGTGCTGCCAGCACATGGGCAGGGGGCCCTGGCTAGTTGCTGAAGTCCTGCTTAGGCTGTGCCCTCCTCGTCCCCGCTCCCAACTGTGGGTGTATGCTTATGTAGGGAAATCCCTTTTGGAAGCTCTGTGGTCTGCAAACTGGGCCTAAGCCGCCTGTTCTTGGCCTTACCCATTCATCCCCATTGTGCTCCTTTTCCCTATAGCCGGTGGGTGCTGGCTGCCAAGTCTTCGAAGGCCGACCCAAGCTGGACGCATGGCGGCAGCGTGTGGAGGCAGCCTTGGGGAAGGACCTGTTCCAGGAGGCCCACGAGGTCATTCTGAAGGCCAAAGACTCTCCACCCGCGGACCCCACTATAAAGCAGAAGATGATGCCTGGGGTGTTGGCCATGATCCGGTGATCTGGGAAGCCTCACCCTAACACTGTCCTCAACAGTTCACGAAGCAAGTTCATTTCCAATGTCCCGTGGGAAGCAGGCTCAGGGAACAGGAGTGACTTTTCTGAGTCTTGCCTGAGTCCCACCCTCTACCACAGCTGCCTGAAAGCCACAAGGAGCATGATAAACTCCCAAAGCTTGTCTCCTTTAATCACTGCATTTCATTTTAAGTTTGGATAATAAACCTGGGCTCAGCCTGAGCCTCTCCTAACTCTAGGTGGTTTATTTGACCTTTCTTTGTCCTGGCCCTGGTTTTGGTCTCTGTCCAAAGACAAATTCCTTTCCCAAGGCCTTGTGGGTCAGGTTCCCCGTGATGGTTGCCAGAGTGGAATTAACAAATTCCCTATAGCCTCCTACTTCTTGGAGAAAGTATCAGCACTGGGGCAGCAGACATCCTACAGGTCTTTGTTGTAGGCACAGTTAACTCATCAGTTGGCTGAGTTAGCCTCCCAGGACATGGGCCTTACTGTTAATCACAAATCCTGCACCTCTCCTAAGGAACTAGTCAGGAGAAAATCTAGACAGTAGCTCTCCTGGTTAGGACCTAGTCCTGCAGGGACTTAAATGCTATAGCTAGGTGCTGGCTATAACTTCAAAATGAATGGAGTGCTCTGATTTTGTTTTAGAACAATGTGGTTTCTGGTGGGGTTGGATTGGAAGGCTGACAAGGAGAAAGCAGGGAGATCAGATATTGCAGTAATGTGGCCAAGGTCACCAAAGGGGGTGGAGAATGTGGCCGCTTCCAGTCGGGAGAGGGCCGCTACATTAGGCCAGGAAGCCACTCTCCTGGGGGGAATAGGTCTACTTTATACGGCACCATGAGGAACAGGAAGGCAAAGCTATT